TTTTTTTTTTTTTTTTTTTTTTTTTTTTTTTTTTTTCTGACAGATTAGCATTACTTTGGTGAGCTGGAGACTCTACCTCAACTGGTGCTGACCCTCTCCCCTGAAACCATTTTTCCCCTCCAAAATTAGACTTTACTTTCCTTTGGCATTCCACTTAATTACACTGATCTTTCTGGAACACCTAATTCTAATTTATTTGCCAGTTTTGCTCTTTTCTTTTCATGTCCAATTCTCTGCAAATTGCTGCTCTTGCTATAAGTCTATGATTGCATATTTTTATTTTAAAAGAAGCCAGTTTAACTGATTTTGAAATGGATTTGAATTGCATAACCTGTGTGGGACTACTCACCATAAATGAGAACGACTGACTCTTCGATGGCGTGTTGGTAGCTGAACTGGGAGTCTAGCAGAGCTCTGCTGACAAAGGAGCCATAGAAGGTGGACTGGTACCAGCCCACATGCAGATGGTCAATGTTGACGTGACGCAGGGAACGCATCATCTCCATCTGGTACTGGACTAGAGGCAGAGAGGGAGACATAAAATTGAGTGTGAGGTTGAGAAACTCGGAGAAATGGGACAAAGAGGAGGGGAACATATTCAAAATTAACTTCAGTGAAATTACCACTTCTCTGTGAATCTGTAAATATTTGGTGGCCATCTGGAAGTGGACACGGTGCACAAACAGAGGGGGAGAGGAAGTGAAATTGACAAATATGGTGAAAGAGAATGAGCAACAATGATGTGAAGGACAAATGCTTTGGAACTGGGAAAAACAAAAGGCTTCATCTGCTGCTGTCAAGTGGCTGTGGCAGTGATTTTGAAAACAAACATCAACTAGGGTCACAAGTTTGCCTCTCATTCTGTATGTCAGTAAATAAATCCAGGTAGGGTGGAAACAGCTGGATAGATACACAGGCATGTTTCAGCTCCCGGTGAGACGGCTAGACACATTACAGAGAGCCATTTCATTACGGCAGACACCTCTAAGGATGTGCAGCTCCAAATACAAACACCCTGCCTCATCGGCTTTAAGCAACAACCAAAGCAAGCGAGCAAAACAGTACCTAAGCAGGCTTGCTGGAGGAGGCTGATAAATCAGGTTGTGATTGGGCAGCTGTGGCCCCTAACACCCCGTCTGTAGAGCACAACCCTGTCCTGCTGGGGATGTTAACAAGAACAAAGTGGAGGGGTGAAAAACAGGAAGGGTGAGAAGCTGGTGGTAACAGAGAGCAAAAACATCCGTCTTTTTGGCTTTGAACACCAGGAAGGGAAGAGAAGGAAATGATAAACAGAAATGAGCGTGTAAAAATGTAATCCATTTAAAGGTGAAATGTCTTTATTGGCATTATTTTAAATGGACTAAATGTCACCTTGCTGAGCCTGGTATGTAAAGCACTTCATTAAAAATTGATAAGCACTTCACATTTCACTCTACAGAAACCATAGCCTGCTTTTAAAATGACTCACAGCTCAGTTTTTGAAATGAAAATGACTGTAGTGATACACACAAACCCTTCTGACTGATTTACATTAACTAAACTTTCTAAACACATTTAAACTCTTCTTACTCACCAAGACACAAAAGACACAAGCGGTACGCCAATGTCCCCAAAAACCGAGGGATTTGAATGGTGAATGTTTGTAGTTTCTGAGATGAGTGTTTTTCTGGACTGAAATTGAACAGTGAATGTACGGTAAGTAAACCTAAATGGTTTTGGTGCGAGATATTCAAGTGGGTAAGTACGATGGAGCTTTAGAGCCACGCTAAGAAAAAAAATTAAAAGCCATAAAATTACGAGAATAAAGTCGTATGAGACTTTTTTTTTTTTTACAGCTCTCGTTTATTTATTTTTCCCCCACGAGTCAGATCCACAACACGACCTGTCAATCAGTCCAGTAGGTGTGTCAGCAAATGACCACTCCGAAGCTAAATGAGTTGTAATATTATCCAAACTCTGACACAATAAACAGGTTTACCGCATTTTAACTGTGGTAAAATGAAGAATGTTGCGCATCTTGTTAAGTTATACTTTACTGCTTTTACAAATAAAGAGATATTTAATCTGTAGCACATCAGCATCAGATTATTATCAGTATTAGGCCTTTGAACCTGCTTACAGGAAGATGGTACGCCATTTATGGCCATTTAGCTTTAGATTGGTCATTTGCCGACACGCCTACTGGATTGATTGACAGGTCGCGTTGTGGATCAAACTTGTGGAAATAAATAAATGAATAAACGAGAGATGTAAAAAAAAAAGAAGTCTCATACGACTTTATTCTTGTAATATTAAGACTTTATTTGACTTTATTCTCGTAATGCTACGACTTTATTCTTGTAATTTTATGCCTTTGAATTTTTTTTCTTAGCATGGCCCTAAAGCTCAATTGAAGGTAAAAGCTACACTGTGAAGAACAGAGGGAGGATTTTATTTTATTAATTGATTTTTTTGCTGTTTTTTTTTTTTGCTTGTCTGAGGCAGCACAGACTGACAGATCCTAACACAATTTTATCCACCACTAGGTGCAATGGCGGAGCCAGGGGGTGGCTAATGGTGGCCTTGACACCCATAGATTAACCTTCGGCCACCACAAGGGCCACCTCAGGGATAGGGGCCTTTTTTTATATACCTAGATGCAGTTACACACTAAAATGGAAGTCGGCACGTTACTTATTTTTCCAGTTATCCAGCTCAAATAGTTTACATATATGCCTATATAGCGGCAGCCATCTTGGATTTTAACGTGGCAACCCAATATTTGAAAAAAAAAAAAACTTTCTTATGCCTAGATGCAGCCACACACCAAAAGAGAAGTCCGTATCTCAATTATTTTTCAAGGTATCATGCTCACAACAAACACAGATGGAGGGTTTTTACAATTCCTCCTCTTCCTTCCACGACGGGGGACAAAAAAATAAAATCTGCACTCCTCTCTAGCTGGAAGCCCGGTGCTGTGGAGCTTCTCCCCGACAGCAACACCACTCTGAAATTCAACAACATCAGTAGAGGACAAACAACACACACAGACCCTTTTCATGACCTGCCTGGCAGAGACAGACCAAACTAAACAATCTGTCCTTTTAATCTAAGCCTTTATTTAGTGATTGACATGGTCTAGTAGACAAAAGTAAGCACATCTAATGAACAGGGGAGGCAAAGGATGAGAAGCCTGGAGAGAGATTGAGGAGGACAGGGTTTACAAAGGGGAAAAGAGAGACTGTATTTCTAGAGCAAACCTCACAAGGAGGTGCTGCTAGGGGGGGTTTATGATATTGAAGCTGTTCTCTTGGGCATTATTTTGTAAATTAATCTAAATTTTGAGCAAACTGTCTACTTTTGTAGTGGGTTTTCAATAGCAAGGTGCCTAAAACCAATTAAAATATTGTTCTTTTCCAGCTTCAGTTATATATTTGCCTAACAGTGGTTCATTCCTTGAGTTGGGTGGCTTTTTAATGCTCAAATGATTCATAGGTCAGTGTTAAATGATTTAAGAAATGACACATTCTACTAAAAACGGACAGGTGGAGATTGAAAATGAGAAATACTGCAAAAGTTACAACAAAAACAAACAAAAAAAACACTTGGCAAGTCTGAAAAACTAGAGTTAAGGTACACTTGTTGGATTAAAACAAATTCTAGTTCCCTGGAAACGCAACATAAAAAATAAAAGTGACTTTAGACTTTTGCACGCCACATAAACCTCCTCTTTCTAAACAACAGCTAGTGGGGTGCAACAATGGTAAAAGATTAAAGTCAGTGGTACTGATTCTGTCAATGAGACTTGAAACATGAAGTCGGAGAGGAAGACAACAAGAAACAGAACACGTGGAAACGTGTTGGTGACAGACACAAGGAGTCTGCTGAGGAGGGGTCCTGACCATGAGCAGTCTAGCAGCACACTCAAACAGAATTTAATGGAGAAGGAAGACAGCCTGCCACCAAGCAGCTCCATTTGTCTCGGCACTTCTTCTCTCAGTAGGAGTTCTTACCTCTCGGGCACCACTGATGCGTACATCTGCCCCCACATCCCATCATTAGCAAGGAAATTGCGCACAAACTCTTTTAGACAGAATCTGAAGGCTGAAAGATTGACGGCAGGAGCAGGAAAACCACAAGATGTCTGTGCTTCCTTTTTCATTCAACAACTGTCAACTCAATTTTCAATATTAGCACTAATACTAGACGACTTTACAAGGGATGGGCAGTGATTTTTGATTATTTGAAGTGCCATTAAAAGGTAGACAGTTGAAGAGCTAATGCAACCTTTGCCATTATGAGCAGCCAAGTGTTTTTTGTTGTTTGTTGCCCACTAGCATCTGCCAGGAACACGCTGCTAACAGAACTGCGAGGTAACAATCATACATACTAGAGCTGTCATTTCTAACCCGAGCCCGAAGCCTGGCCCCACCCGACCCAAATTAGGGGTGGGCCGGGCCATAATAATGTGCTGGATGGGCGGGCCGGGTCGTTGTCGGGCTTTTGACTGCGTCAGATGAGCAGTCGCGTTCCAATTATATGAAAACATGGCTTGCCATAAATCCAATTATGTGAAAATATGGCCTGCCATACTTTCACCAGTCGCACGCTGCCATTTCACCGCAAGCTGACCGGCTTTGAAAGAAGTAAAATAAAGTTCCGTTAAGCTCCAGATGGGACTATACTGCCAGGCAGCGATCCATCGCCCAAATGGATGTTCATTCAGCCGCTGCACTCAGTGGACGCGCGCGTCCGATGACCCAAACAGGTGAGATCCCAAAGCAGACATGTCAGGGCAGGGTCCGTGTCTGAATAATGCAGAATACAGGCAGAAACAGGGTTTTAATGCTCTTTGACGGCTATGAAAGAACAAACACCACCTCAGCTCTGATCTTCTGTCCCTATTATTCAGCTGTGCGTCCTTGAGCGTTAATAACTCATTT